ACAGAGTAGAGAGAAAGTTACGTAATGCTGAGTGAAAAAAAGAGTTTGTGATACGAAAACTCTAATTACAGGGCCCCGGTAACGAAAAAGGTGATAAATACAGTTGCTGAATTTAGAAAAAACAATTCTCTAACACGCAGTTCAGCCAGAATCCACGTTTTGTGAGTCCCTGATTCGAAAAAAATATCCCTGATGCCGTACTGTTCAGCCGATTTTCTCGAAAATTGATATTCCCCAATCGATCCTGCTGATGTCGCGGACCTTTGAATTTGAAACCGCTTTTTATTTTTGGGGGTACTTTACATGTAACTCCTGGAACATTTTCCAAATTTTCAAAAATATGGCTCCAGGGTTTTTGATTAATTTTTTGTTGGGTAGTGTGGAGGACGTTTAAGAGAGTGGTGCAGGTCTCATGTTCGATCAAAACCCCGTTTTTTCGAAAATTGCAAAAGTTCTATTTTTTCAGAGGGATCCTTCAACTAAAATATTAAAGAAAGAGATTTTTCCCTTAATGAGATCTGTTCCTTAAAGACAGATTCTGAAATAAGGCCATGTACAATTTTTCAAAAAATTTGAGTACTTTTCGCCTATATATGCGTGAAAATACGGAGTAGAAAAGGAAGTGCTATTTTAGCACCACTAGTTTACCTTTTCCTATAATTTTTGAGGCATTTTCGCTTATTTCTTCGATTTTAGCACCATTTTAATTGTACTTGCTCAAAATAATACTTACGAGATGCAAGATGTTTTTCACAGAATTAATCCGACGCCGATTTGATTTCTTCGCTCAGAAATTATAATGTCAACAGTTGTAAGTACGTAATCTAAGGTTTCTGTCACACTTATCGGCGCCATTGTCGGATCAGCATATTTATCGATATATTAAGTCAGAACGGTACAAACCAAAAATTTGAAAGCTGACGTCACTTGAACGAAAGGAAGAAGCCTCGATTACTCACTAACATATCCACCAATTTGAGTTGTTCATATGAACTGGTTTTAATAAGATTTTCCCCCCTTATTTTTCTTTGCTGTCAGGGCATTTTAAAAACATTTTAACAGCATTTTATTCAAACTATAAGTCATCAAATTACGCCGCCTAATAATAATAATATATTCGAAAAAAGTCAAAAGCAAAATTGTATCTGAAAATTAATAGTTCATCAAATTGCCTACTGATCTGAAAAGTTTGTATTTAATATTAACAATACCTCTTTAAGTATTTGATTTTATTACATAAATCTGGAGGAGCTTTTTGGCTGAGAAAATCATGAGATTGACTTGACTCTGACTGAAGGTCGCATATATATCAATTGTGGTAGAAACATGAGGAGAGAAGATAAGAAGTACTTACGGGGCAGTCAGACTGTAGCAATTGCTCTCCGCCCGAGGCTGCGTGAGCTGCGGTGGCATTCACAGATGCTGTGAAGGTTTCAGCAGCTGGCAAAGGGATTAATGGAGGGGGGTGGGAACCACCTGCAGGAATCTGAAGCTGAAATCAAATGAAAAGCGACACATCACAAAAGAAGGCAAAACATACGAATTGCTGCTTCCAGGAAAACTGTAGGAGGAAATGCCCCGGTAGTAAACAATTCTAAGAACAATATTTTAAATGTTCTTGAATTTAATTTGGTTCTTGATGTAGGAAGCCACAGAGAAGAATGTCATGTTATTACCAAATTGCAATATTTTTATACAGTCATAGTTATTTAATACAGTTATACAGTTCAGAATTTTTGGAAGGCTCATGAATACAGAAATGAAAAATGAAAATGGTTAGCACAAAAGAACAAGTTGTTGGATTATATCATCGAATAGGCGGGTGCATTGAAAGTGGAAAAACCGCTACAAGTCTTACATCGAAAGTAAAACCCAATATAAGTTTAAAGTATTTATTTCCATTTTCAGTTAAAAGTACGAAAGTTATGCCAAGGGCAGTTACAAGTGCCATACAGAGGTTTGGGGCGTACGAAGGAAAAATCTATAATATCTCTTACCCAAGAGATGAACGCGTCAGCATTGTGAAATCTCGTCATCAAATATTCGTCTCGATTCCGAACGCGAATTTTGCCTTCCTTTCATCAAAACATTGAGAAGACTAACTGATTTTGTAATATAATAAATTTTATAGTAAATTAGTAGATAAAAATACTTCCGCTGACTGATATTTGCACCAGTTTCTCCGCCATTTCTTGACTGCGTCAACGAACCATTCATTCGCATTAGAAACTCTTTTTATAACTTCTCATTTTATATTACGGATATGATAACATCAATAAACAAAATCGTGGCCTTCCAGTTTTATGACCAGTAATTACAAAACTCATAAAACTAATTTATTTTAATGCGCTCTCTTATAATAGAAATGTGGCCATAACTTTCACTAGGCAAGGTGCTTTGGAATAACCTCGTTAAATAGCGCTGCCGACGGGCAGAATTGCCTATTGTCATCACGCACCGCGACACATTTTCGTCGCGAAATATTGCGTTTCTTCCGTCGTACATATGTACAATTAGAATGATAATGTGTTCCTTCAATTACACAGCCCAGAATTATTTTTAAATTAGACGATGCACATTAATGTACTATCTTTGCATGCAAAACTTATATGATCCCTATTGACGTAATGATCGAAACTCGAGCTGGACGTCAACGTGACCTTCTGGATTACTGGAGTCCGAATCAAAGAGGATGATCGACGCGTGAGGGCAGGAGATGAATGCTTACTGCGATGAAGCAGTTGTTTCATCTATTAAGCCCAGCAAGGCGCCCTGCCCGTCTACACTTCTATTTCATTCCGAGGGAATTTTAGATTACCTAGCTTTGAAACGTACCTCGCCCCCACATGTGGCATTAATCCACCGTCCGATTGGCTTCCGGATGTCCCAGAACGCAACACTCCTTAGAACAGTACTCACTTCAGCCCATCATGCCAGCTCAACGCAACCAGCGTTTCCGGCTTTATGGGAGTCAAATTAAACACAACTCACAAGTCCCCCGTGAATACCCGTAAGAACTTGGCCTGGCCGCAACGAAACCCGAGTCCAACGCTGGCCACCCTGTGCGAAAACAGGGCGGCTGAGAGACCCCAACCCTCTCTTCACTGCGCACATGTTAGCACTAATGGCGGGAAGATTTGTCACATGAGCGGGAGACTTCAATTCTCCGTCAGAACTTCCATGTGTGGAACTACGACGCAAGGGTAGCAGAGGTACTCACGTCCACAGCCGGCGTCGTGGCGCGGGCCCCCTCACCGCTGCTCGACCCCTCCACCGCCCGAGGGGGGCTCAGTGCCCTGGCGGGTGGCCCGAACGGTTGCGTTGTCATCTGCTGGGGCATCTACGACAAAGTCAGAACCAGTCAGACTCGGCCAAGCGCTGGTGTCCACGTTGAAAACTGCCCCCACACAGTGTTTTGGCGTTCATTCAGCACCCTGCTACGATTGTCTCGAGAATTTAAACAATATCGAGGAATCCAACCCTAAAGCTTTTAGCTCCTCCCAGCCCAAGGTAACTAGAACAGGAGGGAGAGAAGCCTGTGCAAACAAATACTTGGTCTCAAAGAAAATTTGCACTGTTAAATTATTGCGATGATAAGTCGCATATAAACTCCGCATATCTCTAATTTTCAACTTTCAGGGCTAATTTTCTTTTCAGAAGTACGTGAAACAATGTTTCTTTTTTCGCCTTCTTTAACTTTTTTCATTTTAAAACTCATGTTTAAATTACAATCCAATGTCAATATTTAGACATTATCCCTTCAAAATTGTACCCCACATTTTCATTGAGAGAGCAAGGAGAGAGGTAGGAGAGAGGAGATAGGAGAGGAGAGAGGTAGGAGAGAGGAGAGAGAGAGGAAAGAGAAGAGACGGGAGAGAGAGAAGAGACGGGAGAGAGAGAAGAGACGGGAGAGAGGGAAGAGAGGAGATAGAGAGAGACAGAGAGACATAGGCAGAGAGAGAGAGAGAGGCAGAGAGAGGCAGAGAGAGACAGAGAGAGAGGCAGAGAGAGACAGAGAGACAGAGAGAGAGACAGAGAGAGGCAGAGAGAGAGACAGAGAGAGAGACAGAGAGAGAGACAGAGAGAGACAGAGACAGACAGAGACAGAGACAGAGAGAGACAGAGAGAGAGAGACAGAGAGAGACAGAGAAAGACAGAGGTATGCAACACATTAACGCTCTATCTACATGAACAGAATTTCTCGCGGTAATGAAAAACAGTAAACGAAGTAGAGAACTCTAAAAAAGATTTTGCATAGGGAGCCCGCGAGGTGGAAGTTCGTGGGAACTGCTGCCTCCACGTCCATTGGCTGCAACTCCTAAACGTATGACTCGATAATGTTCGGTCGTGGCCACATTAGTTTACGATCGACAATTTCAAACTCACAACAACAGTTTATGATCAAAAACTTCAAACCAGGGCGGGATTTATCTATAAGCGTCATACGCAATAGCTTAGGAATCTCATTCATGGTAACAAGTATATAAAATATACAATGCATCTACTGGTTAACGTTTCGAAGATAAAAAAAATAGAAAAGTTGTAGCTCTAAGAAAAAATAATGTTAAATCGCCTCTAGGTGGCCCTCCTTTTCACCAAGTGCTCTGGTCCTGCGACGCGCTACGGAGCTCGTTGAAGCTGCCGGCGGCTACCTAGTAAAGACAAAAAATATAATTCTTGCCGTTGCTGTGCCGCAAACGCCATCCCTGTCCGTGAAGAAATTTTGGATGTAACATCTCATGTATGTTTAAAGTATATAAAAATATATAACTATACTGGTTACAAGTTCGAAAATAAAAAAAAAATATTTGAAAATTTGTAGCCCGAGAAAGATGTTAGATCGCCTCTAGGTGGCGCTTCTCTTTCACCACGGGTGCCTGCTTTTAAACACTACACCAGCGAACCGTCGTCATAAGGGCCACGAAAATAGAATCGCTACGACGATCTAGAGATTTCAAACTTGCTTACAGGTAAGTTGTAGAAGATGAAGAGGTACTCACCTCTTGCAATTGCCCTCTGCCTGACACTCCATGTGCTGGAGCGGCATTGGCGGTTGTAGCAGATGGCAACGCAATCAAGGGCGGTGGAAGAGTCTTTTCATGCCTTTGCAATCGCTGTTTGGATGTGACTGTGTGAACTGCTGTGGCATCCACTGACGCTTTGTAGTTTGCAGCTTCTGGTAGAGGATTTTCTGCAGCTTGTAGAGTAGGTCCACGTGCAGGGATTTGAGGCTGGAATAAAATTAAAAGTGGCACATTAAGAAAGAAGACAAAACAATCGAACAGCGCTTCAAGGAAAACTATGAGCGGCAAATAACACTCCATGTACATACATTCAAAGTATATAAAAATATGCCTCTACTGGTGAAAAATTAGTAGAAAAATATTAGAAAATTTGCATCCCGAATAAGATGTTAGATCGCCTCTAGGTTTTCTCCATATCACCAGGGGTGCCTGCTTCAACACAACACCAGAGAACCGATGTAAGCGTAGCGAAAACGGAATCGCTAAGAAAGTCTTGAGATTTCAGATGGAATAACGCTTACTGTGCACGTCGCTGCAGGAGTTGGAGCGTCATTGACAGATGTTCTGGAGGTTGCAGCAGCTGGCAAACCAACGGCAGGGGGCACAGTAGTTTCACGTCCTGGGATCTGAAGGTGAAATCAAAATTAAAGTAACATATCAGGAAAAGAGACAAAATATTTGAACAGCTGCACCAAGGAAAACTATTTGAGTCGTTAAAAAATAAGTCAAAATAAATCAAACTACCACTGACTAAGTACCCAGATCTTGCAGCAAATCTACACTTGGTCTGGGAGGCAAACTTGACTGCGGGCAGAACAACTGTCATTAATTGTGGTTGTAAGTGTTAGCATTTATACAAAGGAAAACTATAGACGTCAATATGGAATATTGACCAAAGTAACTTCTGTTTTTACATAATTCCCTTCGCGTTCGGAATTTCCGGCGCCTACAACTTGACGACATTCACTAGGACATTCACTAGGTCACTACCAACCTCCGAAGGGGCGTTCCACCGTTTGAAGGTAGCTCATACACCGAGAAAGCCCCACCTCAGAGTTGATCTCGTTAATCAAATCTCGACGTTTTATCCACCGATTCCGCGCTCGTGTTGAATTTACACATACTTTTTTTGACGTTTGAATATTAGTTTTGCATTTCTTACATTAAAGAATGAGTTAGTATATCCATTACGTCTTCCATTCTACTACTCAACCCTTTGAAAATGCGAATAGCACCGTAAAATCTCGAAGTGTTTGAATTCGGTGCGTAAATGTGCCCCCAACATGCTCCCAGCGCAGTCTTCAATATGCAACGGGGAAGGTCGGCCATTACCTGAGGATTGTGGATTCTTGGTTGTCCGAAGTTGGCCATCGTAGATGGAATTGCCGCAATTATAGAACTCCCTGGAGTTGTATTCGTCTGTGAAAGTGTCTCCTTCACGAGCTCAGCATTTTCAGTCTCCTGTGGAGAAAGATAAAAATTAATGCAGTTTCTGAAACACTGGATAACATTTTTACATAAGAATCATGTGAACATTACTAAATGTTCATATGATCCTTATAAAGTTATCCTTAAATACTGTACACTTATATTGAAATACTAGGAGTACCTCATCAAAAACGGGAACTCATGTTCCGCAAATTAGATTGTTTAAGAAACTGAAAAAAAAAACATTTTCTGAAACTGAGTTAACGATGAAATAATGTCAAGAAATAAAACACCGACCCTATTTTACAGTATGTATATTGATAAATCATAAACGAACGTATAATGAAAACTTGTTAATGTAATTTTTCGCCCCAAGCCGCCACTCAGAACCAAGAGAGGTGCTAATCGAAATAATTTGGGGAATCCTACCGGGTGTTGCTGAATTTTACAACTCCGCTAACTCAAAACTCATTCTGTTAACACGAAAATGTTTGTGGCTGAATGTTCTTAAACCATAAGTAATAATGTGCCAAAAAGATAACAACCAAGTTGATATCTTGCTCCCGATATTCAAACATATTACAATCGAGGGGGCTCGGAAAATTATGTTACAGAAGAAAAGAGAAATGATATACGATGTTATGAATAGGAATGGGTGGGTTTTGGAGGGCACAGGGCTGATAGCTTGCATTCGTGGCAGTTAACGGTGAGAATTGGTGGACTGAGAACTGTTATTAATAGTATGTAATGAAAGAGCAGAAAATAAATGTTTCGTTCATTCATATTAATCAGATATTTTGTGGTTATTAGTCCTTTCTTCAGCCAGACAAACAATGGAAATAAAAATAACAAGTAAACAAAAATAGAAAGGAAAATTATCAAAAATGAACAAATATTGTAAGATGAAAAAGTAAAAAAAAGAAGAAAGGACCAAAGATGGGTAAAAAAAAGTAAAATAAAACTTGATGCATATAGTTAAAACTTTGATTCTAAATTAATAAATATTTTCAAATATGTTCCAATTACCTAACCCTACCCACGTCATCTACACAACGAAATTGTTTTTTTAGTTTTACTAATTTTATACACTTATACTTGAAATGGTTTCATTTAACAATGATACCCTTGTTAAAACAGTTTTATAATGTAAAATATGTTTTAAATTATAAATTATATTAAAATATATTTTTATTTATAAACAAAAATATATTCTGAAATTAGAAATTTTAAAAAAATATTGTCGATATTTTAAAAGAAGTAGATATGGCCGTTGGATCTATGAAAAAATAGCGCCGCACTTTCTGTTCTTAGTATAGCTGAATATAGTTGGGGTTTCTTGCACCAGATTTGAAGCGTGTCACAATTGAAAATTGGGGAGAGGGGACAATGAAAATACTGAACAAGGGGGCATATTTTACTATCTTGTTGCTCACCCATCGCAGGAATGTGCACGATCCAACAATACGAGTGATGATTTAGAAAATACTCACTTGAGAAGTACTTGTTGCTGAAGAATTGTGTTCCCCAGAGGTACTAGCCCTTTCCGTTTCATGAATCTTGTTCACATTTCCATTTTCATTGGCCCCATGGGGCGCCGGCCCTTTTGTGGAGACCCTACGCTTCTTCTTCTTCTCTGTGTCTTTCGACTACAATGGGACAATGAAAACAATGAATGAGGACCTCTGATAAAGCACATTTTGTTTATATTTTTTTTAAATTTTATTGGATATACGCATAGAGGTTCCCTAGGAGGATGTGCCAATACTTTGGGAAGTCACAGTATCATTCATTCTCAGCAAACATGTTTACCTATTCTGAAGGGTGTGTGAGAGACTGTACAGTATTTTGGGTCTAACAATTGTGACTTTTCCATCCATTTAATTTTTTTCATTTGGGTTGGTCACAGTGTAGTATTTCTAACAATTTCCCTGGTTTTTGCGTGAAGCAGCGAGGGGCCAATCTAAGCGTACACGCTCCGCACGAAATTTCAAAATCGAACTGTATATGAACAGCCAAGTGATAGAGCATTTTTAGAACTTAAGACTATATTTTAATATTTATATGCAACATTTAATACTTGTACTGCTTTTTGTAATAAGTGGGCAAAATATTGGCTTAAATATTGAGCTTACATCTCGCAACTTGTGTGCAAAATACATAACAATACAAATGTTCTCCCAAAGCTATCATACCGTTTTCAAAGCCTTAACAGCATTGTTTTCCTTACGCAAGTTTGCATGTTTTCACACCGCAATTTCCAAAATACAGTAACTCCTCGGCAATTACGCGAATGGACGTGGTCGCACTGACCTGTGCTCTCCGTGTCTGAGTCAACCTTCTTTTCCTTGCGGCAGCTCGAGGAAGCTGAGGAGTGTTCTCTTCGTCGCTACTCTCTTCTTCAGGGTCAAAATATTTACCCGTCTGCTGCCGCTCTGTCCGTGGTCTTAGTTCATAGAAATGGGTCTGAAACTAACAGATGATATATTTTCATGAAATTGACGCGCGGTGCAAGTGATTTACAAAATAAATAATAATAATAATAATAATAATAATAATAATAATAATAATAATAATAATAATAATAACT